CCCCCCGAGCCCCCCCCGAGCCCCCCGGGCCGCTCGGTGCCGCCGCCGCTGTTTACCCCCGGATTTTGGGCCGGTTCCACCCGATTCCCTTTGAAGTCGCCCCGTTGTCGTGACGACGCTGATGTCACGGCCGGGCGGGGCCTCGTGGGTCCCACATGGCGCCGGCAGAGCCCCGGGGACATCGGGGACACCGGGGCCACCCGGGCCGCGACAGCGGGGCCGGGCCGGGGACAGCGGGGGACAGCGGGGGACAGCGCGGGGACAGCGCGGGGACACACCGGGGACACCTCCGGGACACCTCGGGGACACCCCGGGGACATCGGGGACACCTCGGGGACACCCCGGGGACACCCCAGGGACAGCGGTGGCACCGGGCACGCGGGGCACGGCCCCGTGGGGACATCCAGGGGGTCCCGGAGTGGCCGTCCCGCCCTGGGGACAGCGAGGGGACAGCGAGGGGACGTGGCACGGCCCGGAGCGGTGGCGGTGCCCCGGGGTTGGGGACAGCCAGCAGTGTCCCCTGCAGTGTCCCCGAGCCTGTCCTGGTGTCGTGTCCCTGTCCCCTGCCCTGTCCCCCGGTCCTGTCCCGGTCCTGTCCCCAATCTTGTCCCGGTCCTGTCCCGGTGCCACCGTCCCGTCCCCTCTGTGTCCCCTCAGTGTCCCCATCCCATCTCCCCGGGACCCCCCTGGACCCCCTCAAAACCACCTGGAGACCCCAAAAAACACCTCAAGACCCCGGTGCCCCGGGGTTGGGGACAGCCAGCAGTGTCCCCTGCAGTGTCCCCGAGCCTGTCCCGGTGTCGTGTCCCTGTCCCCTGCCCTGTCCCCCGGTCCTGTCCCGGTGCCACCGTCCCGTCCCCTCTGTGTCCCCTCAGTGTCCCTCAGTCATCTCCCCGGGACCCCCCTGGACCCCCCCAAAAACACCTGGAGACCCCAAAAAACACCTCAAGACCCCCCTGGAACTCCCAAAACACCTCGAGACCCACCTGGACCTCCCCAAAAACACCTGGAGACCCCCAAAAAAACACCCGAAGATCCCCAAAGAACGCCTCAAGACCCCCCTGGATACCCCCAAAAACACCTGGAGACCCCCAAAAACCCCTGGATACCTGGGGGGGGCCTGTGGGATTTTTTTTTGGGGGGGATCTGTGGGGTTTTTCGGGCGGCCCGTGGGGCGTTCCCCGTCCCCCCCCGCCCGTCCCCGGTCCCGGGCGAGCCCCGGCGGCTCCGGGTGAGTCACGGGCGGGGTTTGGGGGGGTCCGGGGGGGCCCCGCCCCGCGCGAGGCCCCGGGGGGGGTTCGGCGTGCGGCCCCTCCCCCAACCGTTCCCTGTTTGTTTCCCAAAATAAACCCGGCGGCGCCGATTCCAGGGAATTTCCCTGACGTCATTGGGGGCGGGGCTCGGGCGGCGGCCACACCCAGGGTGGGGGGAGGGGAGGCACCCACGTGGCTTTGCCCCGCCCAAAAAGGGGGCGCGGCGCCTTTAAGCGGTGGCCACGCCCCCCGTCGCGCTCCCATTGGCTGCCGCCGCTGGCGCAGCTGTCAATCAGCGCAGGGCGGGGCGAGCTGTCAGTCAAAGCGCAGCTGGCCAATCAGCGCGGGGAGGGGCGGGGCTTAGGGTTCATTCATAAAGTTGTGGCGGCGGCGGGAAACGGGGGAGGGGCGGGAACCCCCCCAAAGCCCCGGGGACCCCCGGGAGCGCCCCCAGACCCACCGGGACCCCCAAGAGCAGCCCCAGACCCACCGGGACCCCCGAGATTCCCGCAAGAGCACTCCCAGACCCACCAGGACCCCTGAGACCCTCCCCAAATCCACCGAGACCCTCCCGAGAGCACCCTCAGAGACACCGGGACCCCCCCAAGAGCATCCCCAGACCCACCGGGACCCTCGAGACCCCCCCCAGGAGCGCCCCCAGACCCACCGGGACCCCCCAAGAGCAGCCCCAGACCCACCGGGACCCCTGAAACCCCCCCCAAGAGCACCCCCAGAACCACTGGGACCCCCGAGACCCTCCCGGGAACACCTCCAGAGACACCGGGACCCCCGACAACCCACAGAGACCCCCCTGAGAGCACCCCCAGAAACACTGAGACCCCCCGGGAGCACCCCCAGGACCCCCCCCA